CAACAGGATATTGATAAATTAGGTGAATGGGCAAAGTCTTGGCAGATTAATTTTAATATAAGCAAGTGAAGTTATCCATTTTGACTAAAAAGGTACAGACAAGGTAATTTTTTTTAGAAGGCATAAGGTTAAGTACAGTAATGTTCAATGAGATTTGGGGGCTTAGGTACATAGCTCAAACAGGTGCAGAAAATAGTCAAGAAGGGCTGGAGTATAGGGATGCAGACATAATTCTGCAGTTATACAAAATTCTAGTTGGACCCCACTTTGAGTACTGTGTGCAGATCTGGTCACCACACTTTAGTAAGGATGTTTTGGCCTTGGAAGGGAGTTCAGTGCAGTGTAAGACAAGGTAGATAAAAATGAACTAATTCCACTGGTTGAAGATTCTAGAACCAAGGCAAAATCTAAGAATTAGGATCAGGCCTTTTATTAGAGATGTTAGAAAGCATTTTTACATGCAGAGGGTAATGGTGGTTTGGAACTCTCTTTCTCAAATGTTGTTTGATGCAAATTCAATTGTTAAATTTAAGTCTGAGATAAACAACTTTTTATTAAGTAAGGATATCAAGGGATTTGGGCCCAAGGCAGCAATGTGGGGTTAGGCCACAGATCAGTTATGGTCTCATTGAATGCCGGGGCTGAATGGCCTACTCCCATTCCTATGAAAGCCTTGAGACATTTTATTATGCTGAAAATAAGTTAATAAAATACTTACTTTAAAAAAAGGCATATGAAACTATTAAGAACATGAAAATAAATCTGCATTAGATACGAGGACTGCCTAATATTGCCAACTAACTAGTTACTAAGTAAGCTATTTTCTGATAATTTGTGATCTTGTGTTGCAATAATTACACTGCATTTTAAAGAAATTAAGTAAACAAATTATTCTGGCAGAAAGAACACCTTCAATTATCTGAGTACTGAATGGAGTTCAAATTCACTTATCACCGTAATCATTTTAAGTGGAATAGTCTTTACTGAGTTACAAAATTTTTAATATCTACCTGAACCACAAAAATATGTAGTGTGGTTTAATACCTTAACTGAAAGGTGCATTACACCATAACCTAATATGAATACTACAGATATTTGTGATGAAGAGAATCAACAAATGAGCTGCAGTATCTCTAGGGAAAATACAGCGTGCGTACAGCACAAATACAGTGTGCTACTCCATCACCACTTGTTTCTACGGAAACTCAACCTTTGGAACAATAAATCATGTGGCCTATATGTCAACATTTTACAAGTCTAGTGGGTGTGCTATAACTGAAAAATATTATACTTAGGCTCAGTGAGTTTTCTATTTATAGCATACAATATAAACAAATTAAAATTATACTTGAAAGAAAAGATTGGAGAAATTAAATAGAATTACCCTAGATGAATGTGATAATTAGTTTCAATGTATCATCAATTACATGGTATTTTGATAAAATAGAATTTTAAAAAAATCAGAAACAAATAATTTAGTTACAGATATTGCCTTTCCATGAATGTAAAAATTTACTTGCTAATGATTAACTCAACATTGCTGCCAGAGACACCTTCAGTCAAGCAATATGACCAAAGACTAAAAGCAGAACTTGGATTCAGAGATCAAAAAGTTTCATGTTCAGAACTTCATGTATTATTTGAAATTTAGTTTTAATTCTAATATTTTGTGTTTACATAGGTTTTATGAAATCTCAAACATATTTTGACTTCAATACAGTTGTTCTCTAATAGCACTGGAAAAGCACCAGATATTTGAAATATATTCTGTTGTGTTAACACACTGTGAAAAAGGTACCTAGAAGGCTTTTTGCATTGGTATAAAATATTTATTGATTACAAAGCTATAAATTAGCTGGAATCATTCTGGTAATAGGGAACAGATAACCTGGAGCATGAAGTTGTTTCTGACTGCTTAGTCTAACAAGCTTTGCCAATGTGTATTTTCTCCTGATAAAACTTAACCTCATTCATACACCACCCTTTGGCAATAAGAACAGTTAATTAGCTTATGACATTGCAATTTCAGTTTGTTTTAAAAAAACAGCAATATATTAATGGAAAATATTCCAAACTGCCTCACTGTTAAAAACAGTAAAGCTAAAATCAGATCATACTTGCACTTATATATTGTATGCATTTTATCTCAAAACCTACCTCTTTAACTCCTTGCACTACTTAACTCCTTTTTTTGTATTGCATAAAATAATATTCTTTGTGATTTTGTGCATATTCAGTACAAGTAATAGCTTTATTCTGAATCCAGATAGCTTTTGCAGGTTATACAAAAGCTCACTATTAAGAAGCTATTTTTCTATGGTACAATCAACAGAATCATCAGTGAGGACTGACTTTACATCAAGAAAGCACAGCTCTCTGAAACATTCCAGGGACAATAGGAACTTTGTGTTTAATCAAGCCTTTTGTTTTGCTAATGTTGTCAAGGCTGGGCAACATTAGGTGTAGACATACCCTTGTCAGGAAGAGCGTCCTCATTAGCGGTAACCCTAATACCCTTTCCACCATGCACTGATTCATGTTATGAAAGCAGGATAAAAGGAAAAAAAAAGTAGAGTTTATAGATTGCAGCATCAAATCCTGTAGCAGTGGTAGATGAGAAAACTATGGAAATGAACCAAAACCCAAACTTCCTATCCTCACCTGTATGCATAGTGAAAGAAGCTCAAAGTTTGTAGAGGTGAAACTCAATGCTAAATTCAAAGAACAATACAAAATGCAGAAGAAATAGCCTCCCTGTAGCATTTTTTTTAACCAAACATGTACAGCAATAGGCTATATTCAGAAATCTCACCCCAAGTATAATACAGATAACTTATAGCTTCAAAATTAAACCATAAAAATGTCTCTTATAAGAGATCCTTGAAATATCTTGATTTACTTATCAATTCAAAGAAAATAATTAAATTTACACTCCAAACATAAAGAGTAATAAAATTTATTTTGATATCAATGAAAACATGAAAAAATAGCTTCAAATAATTATCCCAACAAAATTAGCTATTTAAAATTAATCAGACAGTGTAGTGCCTGGCTCAGTGAAGCTTGTGGGCTTTTTGAATGTAATTAAACCCTCCACAAACCACTTCAAAGTTAGGCAACTAAAAATCTTGGAACCAGTTTACTCTCATGGGTAGATACAAAAGCCATAAACTGTTCCATAGTTGAATTCATCAGATCTCTGCCCCCTGCTTGGGAGCCTGATGTCTGATTTTTATGGAGTCTGCCACAAACAAGGACAAAAAGTTTGAAGGAGGTCTGTCAATGCCACATTCCTGACTACAGAAAAGCAGCAGGATGGAAAATTGTGTAGGATAAAGTTCACTTAGCTTGGTAAAGTGTGGTGCAGGCCTGAATTTTTGAAGAGCCCCACAACTTGTTTCTTCCCTATCATCTCCTTAGAATGGTTCACCGCCTCCAACCACTTGTGGCACCATGAGCATGAAAATGTACGAGTAAGAATGGGTAGGTTAGCTGTTCATGGCTTATTCTTATAGATAGTGATTTCTGTTTAATTTACTGATCATGGTTCCATTATTGGTTGCCATTGGATGAGTAGATTTTCTGAAGGAATACCTTTCGTACATCATTAAGTCTAACATTGGTCTTACATAACCAGCAGGCATACTTCCTGAAAACTCTTGATTAACCAATGAAATAGCTTATAAATATAATTGTAACAATGGTTCAGTCTTTTAAACAGTGCAGTCACCCACAACAAATCAATTAAGGGCATCAAACATCTTTGACTGTGTGGTTCTAAGCAAGTATATATTTGTACACATATATTGTAGACGTTATCCATATCCAGCATTCTTTGGGCAGTTAAATGTTCATAATGACCGATCACGAAGCAACATACAGCACCAGATCTTCTGGGCACACTACATCTTAGCCTTATATTTTCCTCAAACAAAGACACCAGGGGATGCAGCTGAGGAGCAGTTCCTTGGCTATAGAAAAGTAGTGGGCTGGGACACTTCAATTGAACCAATTCACTATCACATTCTCAAGGGCAACTTGAGATGGGCAATAAATGTTGGCTCAGCCAGTGACTCCCATGAATGAATAAAACAAAATCACTGGCTTGTCCAATAATAGATGTGGGGAACCTTGAAGTTCTCCACAACTTGCCTTTTGGTCCTCTTAGAAAGTAGGCCAAGGGACACCTTTTGTTTTATTCTTGGGGAGATGATACTGGTGTGTCAGCCTGTCACCACTCTCTGTTCCCTGTGATACACCACTTTTTGCAAGATTACAGACAAGAAATTGCTCCAAAAAAAAAGCTATATATACAATATAAAAATGACTCAAGTTCCCGTGGAACTTAATTGCTTAAAAATAGAATTATTTGTACTTTGTAAATTTAAGTTACTCATCTTCATTCATTCCTTCTTATGGAAAGACAGTACATAGGCTACTAATTTCTCTTTAATTTTCATGAGCTAGTTCTGTTATATAGCTCAGTTGACAGAAACCCTACTGAGCTGGGTCATCATCATTGCCTTCCTCTTAGCTGGTACTCCATCTAGCGGGCCACCCTAACTAATAAACTTCCCTCCAACAGGTTCAGGTCATGCTGCAGATCTAATTTTTAAATCTATCTTTAATAATTGAATCAATTGTGAGAAAATTGAGACCTCAAACTGATCATAATCTTTTGAATGGACCAAATTTTTTTTTCTTGGGAATCCACATTTGACAGAAAACATAAAACAAAAATAAAACTAAAAATGATATTCTCAACTTTCAGTAGATCCATAGCATCATAATGCAGCTTTCCAGAAAGTTAGTATCATTTTTTTGTGGGAGAAAACTAACTGGTATGCACAAAAAAATACATATGTCAGTGAACCTTTGAATAGAGGGGAACGTTGACAAAGGAGGAGTGCCAGGTTTGCTCACTACTCTAAACAGGAATACATAGATCAGAGTAACTACACTCTCCCTAGGTTCTAAGAAGTGTTCTTTCAAAAACTTACCCTGAGCAGTCTGAGACTGGATGAATGTTTTGATGAGGGTATCTGTGGTTTGAGTGTAGAGTGAGAGTGCGTATCGCAAGGATTGAAGGTCTGGACTCTTCTCCAGGAAAGTTTTTTTCAGACCATTTCCACCAGCATGGAAGTATTGCTGTAATGTCAAAGTTTGAACATAAACACTCTGACCTCATGAATCACTAACACATGTACCCACAATCTGATCTTCAGCTGTCATTTCAGATAACTTTCTAACAATACTAACAGGGAAATTATGACCAAATAAAAACCGAAAGAACTGCGGATGCTGTAAATCAGGAACAAAAACAGAAGTTGCTGGAATGCTCAGCAGATCTGGCAGCATATGTGAAGACAAAATCAGAGTTAACATTTCAGGTCTGGTGCCCTTCCTCAGATTATCACCAAACTTTAGCTGGTTAAAAAGGTCTTTCCCACGTAAAAACAAAATATAATGGTGTAAATTACACTTAAAATTTTGCCATCTTGAGAAACTGTCATGCATTTAAATATTTGCAAATTAGTTCCCAAAATGAAAATTTCCCCCTTTTCCTGTATTTACAAGTAAAGCCTTTCCTGTACCAACTACCCTTCAAAGAGACAGTCAAATCCCAAGAACTGCTTTCTATATTTTGATCCAGAATGTTAAAACAACAAAATTTCATTCTAACTTACATGTCATTGGTTTGCCAGCACAAGAAAAGTTATGTTAAACACTGTAAATGCGAAACTAAGTAAAAACAGATTATGCTTTTGTTTGATCTTAGTGAGTCAACAGAAAATGACCAATTGCATTTTAACCAGTTTAAAATATCAATGGAGGAGAACACATTCTTAATTAAAGCAACTGCACTGTAATACTTATTTCAGCTGCAGTATTACCAACTTCAAGTGTTGTGATTAATTAACTAGAAAGTAATTCAATTTATTTGTATGCACTAAACAAACTACAAGAGTGCATGATTCCTGTTAGCTAGGATGGAATGGTCATCCTAGTCTTAATGGCTGGACTGACTCAGTCTCTTGACTGGATTATTACAACTACAGTGATGACAGTTTTTGCTTTAAGGTATGAGACAAATGTGAGATATTTCCAAATTGTTAAAGAGTGTTACTCTAGTTTATTAGCAATATTTCAGAGTCCAATCTTCTTCTGCCTTTCAAGCGTAAAAACAAACAATTTAAAAAAAGATATTTTAGATTTAAATAAATGCAGTCACAGATAGTTCAATAAAAGGTTACAGCATTTAGATACTTGGGGTGGGAATTTTCCCAGATAAAATTAGCTTCTTTGTGATTTGAAACTAGTTGCAAGCACTTTCAATAATATTAACTGGCATTATATTTTACATTCACGAGACAAATGTTATTACACCACCTATCACATCAATTCCTGGTACAGAAGCCAAGGCAGCCCAAAGACAATGATTACAGACATAAATAGTGGATTTCAATATCTTAATTGAACAGGTGTTTTTGAAGCAGTGTCAATATCATTAAAACAAACCTTAGAACCAACTTCTTATGAGGGTCAGACCAATGCATGAATCTAGCATTTTCTTTTTTAGATGCTGATTTAATTACATGTATTTCAAAAGAATTTTGAATTTATGGCAGAACTCTTAGGAGCATTGACATACAGAGGGATCTGGATGAACAGGCCCAAAAAACCCTGAAGGTAGATAAGGTGGTCAAGAAGGCATTCAGCACACTTGCCTTCATCGACGAGGGCATCAGATATAAAAGTTGGCAATGTTACAGTTGTATAAAACTTTCGTTAGGTCACATTTGGAATATTGTGTGCTGTTCCTGTCGCCACACTACTGGAAGCAGGTGGATGCTTTGGAAAGGGTGCAGAGAAGGTTTACCAGGATGTTGCCTGATCTGTAGGTTTCCTACAAGCCAAAGTCCCCAGCTGCTGAAAGGAGACCACCATCATCCATGTACCCAAGGAAACACATGCAGCGAGCCTTAATGACTACTGCCCAATAGCTCTGACTTCAATAATCATGAAGTGCTTTGAGAGGCTGGTCATGGCCCTCATCAACTTCAGTCTCCCAACTTGCCTCCTACAGTTTGCCAACCAACATAACAGATCCACAGAGGATGCCATATCCCTAGCCCTGCACTCATTCCTGTGAACATCGGAACATTAACTACAGCTCCACTTTTATAGAACATAGAACAGTACAGCACAGTACAGGCCCTTCAGCCCACGATGTTGTGCCGAACCTTTACCCTAAAGGTCTATCTAACCTCCACCCCTACCTTATACTATCATCCATATGCCTATCTAACAGCCGCTTAAATGCCCCGAATGAGGCCGACTCCACTACCCGCTCCGGCAATGCATTCCACGCCCCTACCACTCTCTGAGTAAAGAACCTACCTCTGACGTCTCCCCTATATCCACCTCCACTCACTTTAAAACTGTGCCCCCTCATAATAGCTACCTCCACCCTAGAAAAAAGTCTCTGACTGTCCACTCGAACCATACCTCTGATCATTTTGTACACCTCTATCAAGTCACCTCTCATCCTTCATCGTTCTAAAGAGAAAAGCCCTAGCTCTCCCAACCTTTCCTCGTAAGACCTTCCCTCCATTCCAGGCAACATCCTGGTAAATCTCCTCTGCACCTTTTCCAACGCATTCACATCTTTCCTGTAATGAGGCGACCAGAACTGGACACAATACTCCAGATGTGGTCGAACCAGGCTTTTGTATAGCTGGAGCATAGCTTCACGGCTCTTGAACTCAATCCTTCCATTAGTGAAAGCTAACACACCATACGCTGTGGACGTGAACCCCAAGATCCCTCTGCTCCTCCACACTGCCAAGATTCTTTCCGTTAACCCTGTATTCTGCTTTCAAATTTGTCCTTCCAAAATGAATCACCACACACTTTTCAGGGTTAAACTCCATCTGCCACTTCTCAGCCCAGCTCTGCATCCTCTCAATGTCCCTTTGTAACCGAGAACAGCCCTCTGCACTATCCACAACTCGACCCACCTTCGTATCGTCCACGAACTTACTAATCCACCCTTCCACTCCTTCATCCAAATCATTTACAAAAATCACAAATAGAAGAGGACCCAGAACAGATCCTTGTGGTACACCACTCATAACTGAACATCATGTTGAGTATTTTCCATCCACTACCACCCTTTGTCTTCTAAGGGTCAGCCAATTCTGAATCCAATCTGCCACATTTCCCCCTATCCCATGCCTCCTTACCTTCTGCATGAGCCTACCATGGGGAACCTTATCAAATGCCTTACTTAAATCCATGTATACCACATCCACTGCTCTACCTTCCTCCACGTGTTTGGTCACCTCTTCAAAGAATTCAATAAGGCTTGTGAGGCATGATGTACCCCTCATAAATCCATGCTGACTATCACAAATCAAACTGTGCCTATCCAAGTGATCATAAATCCTATCTCTCAGAGCCCTTTCCAATAATTTTCCCACCACTGACGCAAGACTAACTGGCCTGTAATTTCTGGGGTTATCCCTATTCCCTTTTTTGAACAAGGGAATGACGCTTGCCTCTCTCCAATCTTCCGGCACTATAACCGTGGACAGTGAGGACGAAAAGATCATCGCCAAAGGCCCTGCGATCTCTTCCCTCGCTTCCCATAGAATCCTTGGATAAATCCCATCAGGCCCGGGGGACTTACCTATCTTCAAGTTCCTCAAAATTCCTGGTGCATCTTCCTTACTAACATTCACCTCCTCTAGCCTACCAGCCTGTTTCACACTGTCCTCCTCTACAACTAAGTCCCTCTCAGTTGTGAATACCGAAGAAAAGTATTCATTAAGGACCTCTCGTATCTCTTTAGGCTCAGTGCACAAATTCCCTTTGCAATCCTTGGTCGGCCCTACCCTTTCTCTGGTCATTTCTTATTCCTCACGTACGTGTAAAAAGCCTTGGAGTTTTCCTTGATCCTATCTGCCAAGGTTTTCTCATGTCCCCTTATAGCTCTCCTAAGCCTTTTCTTCAGCTCCTTCCTGGATAACTTGTATCCCTCTAGAGCCTTTTCCGTTCCTTGTTTCCTAAACCTTATATAAGCATCCTTCTTCCTCTTAACCAGTCATTCAACCTCTCTTGAGAACCAAGGCTCCCTCACTCGACTGCATCTTCCCTGCCTGCTAGGGACAAACATATCGAGCACACACAGTATGCATTCCTTAAACAATCTCCACATTTCAATAGTGCTCTTCCCATTTTATGTTACCCAGTTCTTGCCTAACAGAACTGTAATTACCCCTTCCCCAATTATAAACGTTACCCTGCTGTATGTACCTATCCTTTTCCATGACTATTGTAAAAGTAACAGAGTTATGATCGCTACTGCCAAAATGCTCTCCTACCAACAGGTCTAACACTTGGCCCGGTGCATTGCCAAGCACCAAACCCAAAGTGGCCTCTCCTCGTGTTGGTCTATCTACATACTGTGTCAGGAATCCTTCCTGAACACACTGGACAAAATCCGCTCCATCTAAACTATTACAACTAAAAAGTTTCCAATCAATATTTGGAAAGTTGAAGTCACCCATGACTACAACCCTGTGACTTCTGCACCTTTCCAGTATCTGCCTCCCAATCTGCTCCTCCACTTCTCTGCAACTCTTAGGGGGTCTGTAAAAAACCCCCAACAAAGTGACTGCTCCTTTCTTGTTCCTGATCTCAACCCAAACTGATTCTGTAGACATATCATTCTTGAACTGCCTTTCAGTAGCTGCTATACTAACCCTGATGAGCAATGCCACTTCCCTGCCTCTTTTACCACTCTCCCTATTTCTTTTAAAGCATCTAAATCCCAGAACTTCCAACAAACATTCCTGTCCCTGAGTTACCAAGTTTCTGTAATGGATCACAACATCGTAGTTCCAAGTACTGACCCATGCTCTAAGTTCATCCACCTTATTTCTGATATTTCTAGCATTGAAGTATACACACCTCAAACCATCCCTGTGTCCATAATTACGCTCCATGTACCGCATTTCTTCATTAACAACCTCACTCCCTGTTGTGTCTGTTGGAAGGCTGAATACCTCATCCTCTGAATTACAAATCCGGTTCCCCACCTCCTGCCAATCCAGTTTAAACCATCCCGTATAGCTTGAGCAAAC